CAATTATTTGTATCGTTGTTAGTCTAAAGGGCCGGATTAAGACCACAGAGGCCCTTTAAGCATGGTTAGAGTTTTCTGGCAGTCGACGCGAGCGTTCTTACAACTGGCGTCAACTCGTTCCCATTGAAATAACATCACGTGATAAGAGACATGTGTCATGTGACTTTATAAATACGTAAATGGAAACGAACGAAGACACCCACCTTTCAAATGTTGATGATGTCGACAATAATATATTAATATAATTGTGGCAAGACCGACCATGTCTTTCCGGTGCTTCTTCTAAGTTGTTCCCCATTTTGTTGATCACATGATGATGAAATTAACAGTCACGTGTTAAGTGTAATCGCTATCAGTTCCAAGTCGACATGAGCGCTCCGAATTCAGTTGCTCTCAGTTGCTGATATCATCGACATAAGCACACCTGCAACTGACTGCAACTAGTTGCTTTGAGTTGCAAAGTCGACACAAAACCCCCCTTTATACACATATTTTTCCGTCTTCATTAGCCCAGCTCGGAGCAGAACAGTAGGACGTTGAACCCGATTTCATTTCATTTATACACGTATTGATTAATTGCGATAAAACAGGTAACAGTAAGAAAATACAAAAACAATGAAAAACTATTTAAAAGTTCTTAATTAATTTTTAAATTTAATATTTTAAATTTGGCATGTAACAAAGCAGACATTTGACTTCACAGACCAATGAACCCACACCGAAATATTTAAACTTCCGACCATTGATCTATATGGAATATTTTCTCCGTCTACAGAAATCATTTAAAGTACAAGCATGTACAAGATTAGCAGGATATAAGACCATTAAACAAATATCCTGTGGTAATGGTGACCGAACTAAAGTTTTTCTATCTAGTGAAAGAAGCGCTTTATTCGCCGTCTGCAGCTTAATCTTCGAATCGGACGGATATCTACAAAGAAAAAACCCATTTGAATGCTTTTAGAATACTATAGAAAGTGATTGCGTTCATTTCTAATTCCAACGTTGGTCTAACACTCTCTATGTATAGGTCATAAGATAGGACATTTGAAAAAAATAATGAGTTCGGCTACTTGACTTAAATCGGGTTTTGTCTGGGGTTTTATCATTGATATCCAAGACTATTTAGCACTGAGCTAGTTTTGTATATTCCTGTAAAATCCGAGCTATAAAGCTCGTGCGTTCCATTTTTGATAAACTGGCAATTTCATAAAATGTTGTCAATACATCAAGTAGTACCTTTTTATATTTCTTGCCGTTGATTATGTTTGTTTTGTCGTGTGACAGCTATTATTGAATGTCCTAAGATGAAACCGGTTTTACATTGTAAGCTACATCCCATTGTAATGTCCCCACAGTATTCATCTCAAATGGAAGTCGGAGTGTGTCACACTTTTATTCCGGGAAGAACCAGACAATCGTTAGGGATAATTTGAGTGAACTACATTTGTACACACCAATGCCTTTTTTACGTACAAATTACGGAACTTGTCATATGTGGTAAGCCGCATTATTGGATATGAAGGCAGTTTGTTAGTATGTGTATAATTCATTTAATGCACATTATTCTAAGATAAGGGCAAATAATATAGACTTGCACCGATAAAAAGTATTCCTATCCAAAAACGGATTTGTCCAAAAATGTTTAAAATATATGCCAACGCATATTATTGACAACACATTACTTTCTATTGATTTCAATGCCGTCATCTTCATCGTTTGTTTGACATGCGTTATCAAGCATCCGCTTCCACCGAAGTGATATCGCAGACAAAATCATTATCGTCTGGGGTATTGCTTAATTCTATACATGAACATTGACTTCCAATGTGATGTTTGAGCAAGGCGTTTGACACGGTTTTGATAAGAGGGCTTATTTACAAATTACAAAAACATGGACTCACTGGAAATATACTAGTGGCTTAGTAATTATATATCGGATAGAAGACTACGAGTCATTTTAAAAGATGCGTTATCAAATGTTCGACTCTTAATTATAGGCTGGAGTACCACAAGGCTCGGTTAGAGAACATTGTTATTGTTAGTTTTTTTAAATAATATTCCGGACAATATGAATGGATTGACTCGATTATTATTATTAATCAAAGGACAGATTAATTATAGAAAATACCACATTATGTACACACTATTAGTGGACTATAACGGCACTAGATGAACAATAAAAAATGTTTAAAGTATATATATGGACCAGAAACCTAGTATTAGGTCATCGCCACTATCTTGAAAATCGTAGTTAGTCAATCGATACGCAATTGCCCAAGGAAAATCATGTTAAGTTTCATGTCGATTGAAAACAGAGTAAATATAGAAACGATTGAATGCAAATCAGTTTATATACATTCCTATTACATTATTATATGCGTTGCGACCCATTTGTGTCAATTTCTAGGTCCCAAATATTAGCGATTTAGCTCCTTTAATTGTGATGGATATAATTTTAGTTTTATTTCACAAAAAAACCCTAATTTATTTAATCAGAAATTCATTGAATTTTTTTTAATACATTTGATTTGCTGACCATCTCTGTTATTGTCGGCTTTTTATATTTTATTCTCTTCCCATTTTCTTAGATTCAGTTTCATATTTGTTAAATGTAATGGGGTTTTGGTAGTGACGGGTGCACTATTCGAAACACTTTATCATGGTAATTTACCAGATAAAATTTACATGCTATTACTATTATTTAACAATTTAAGTTAAGGGGCAATCGCAAAGTAGGTTCGATATAAGTCTTGCAGGGCAAATGAAACCAATGTCGTCGGGATCTGAAATATCAAAGGGAGAACAAACAAGAAAGACTAAACCCATAAAGACTAGAACCTGTTATCTCTTCCTATTACACTTCAGTTTTGGAACAGTCTCTTGTTCTTGGGCTGCACCATTATAACACAACCCCAAGATACTGGTGTGCATTCACGTAGCAAAATTCCACAAAGCCTGCTTCTATAAATAGTTTTGGATTTTATATTCATTACAGAAGGTGTATAGTGTGTTCTCTATTGATTTGCTTTTTATACTCACTTTAGAAAATACTTGTTAACACTGGTGTCAGAGAGAAATGGATCGAGCGGCGGTTTGGAAGCTAAAATACGACTGATTGAATCAAGAAGCTATTAAATTGAATATGAAAGGCACTCAAACGTGAGTGTCAAGTCTAATTCGCACAATTCTTCGCATTTATCATAAAGGGGGCTAAAATGTAATACCACTCATTAAATAAATCACTTCTCTGTCAATCAAAGAATATTTTATGGTCTTATCATTTACTCCCTGGTTATTCGATCTTTCACAACAAATTAACGATAATCGAAGGCGGGAGATCGGGTGTGTGATATGATGTAATTGATTAAAAGAAAGGCAGAAACTTTTAATATCAGGCGTATAACATTCTGCGACATTGGTAAGATGAAAAGAAAAGACTGGCTATAAAAGCTGCGACTGGTTTAAGAGTGATTAGAAAAAAAGCCAGAGGTTTCTTTAATAGAGTTAATGAACTGTTCGTGTTTTGGTCATATATATATTTATATGGCGCTGTTTTACGATGAAAAAAATAAGATGTATACTGCGATAGTAATGCATCTCGTGAACACCATCACACTACTTCCATACCAAAATGCAGCGAAGTAGCAAAGACAACAAGCCTTCCAGCCTGTATCTATCATGCGCACTTCATTTGTTCACGCTTTAACTTTGGGTTTTTCTAAGACTGAATATTGTGGCATCTTATCTTCGCCTTCCGATTATGGATCCAATGCGGAGCGAAATGAAGAAGTGAACAACGCGAAGCGAAGAAGTGTTGACGGACAGGTGACCGAATGGAGTTCAGAGTAAAACCGTGTCAAAGGGTAATTGATATTCTTATCTATCCCAACCGTGTTCCTTTACATACTGATGCTTATCTCTATGTATACAATTCAGGCAAACACACTATATTCAGTATAACATGGTGTTTTCCGGTAGTATTCCGGTTGTTTTTCGGTTGTTTTCCGGTGTTTTCCGGTATATAGTATAGCTCCGCGGTGTGACCCATTTGTGCCAATTTCTAGGTACTAGCTCCTTTAACAGGCAGAAAATAGGATAAAACAAATCGCAACCTATATTTAACACCCCTCTTAAATTACCCGCAAGTGTTCAACGTGCAGCAAGACGACTTTCGAAATGCCGTCCTTAGCTAAAATATATTTAATCATAGCTTCGTTGTACTCACTCACTAATGTATATATTGTATTGTTCGATCTCATTACCAAAACCAAGGTGGAAATTTCCCTTCTGAACAATAAAGGTCGACCAAATTAAAAGGCTTTATAAAGGATTTCTACTTGATCGCTTCAAAGTTGTTTCTCTTTCGGTACGCGAATATTGATTTTAAGTTTCGTATAACTTGATAATTGTGTATATTTTGTATATTATGTTATCCCTCAAGACAAATAATACTTCAAAAACTCTATTAAATTTGTAATACCAGCTTTGGAAAATCGCAAAGTGCATTCTGTTGTTAGCTTTTCTGAGTACACAGTTTTCCTTTCTCCAAAGGCTAACAACATAATAATATACTGTATTAAATTTGTAATACACATTGTTGAAAAACAACAGCAAAAACACATTTTCTTATTCAGTACCGTGTTTCTTGCAGAATCTCAGGACCCATGGGCGTTTAGATATTATGAATGAACACAATATTGCTCTTTACACCCCTCCTTACATTAAGTACATATCAAGCTTAACATTTCAACATTTCTATAATCCGGAAATATTATATTTAAACTATTCCCTTGAATTTCCTGACAGCCAACTCTTAAAATTTTCAACATCAAGATTATCAGATTCAGAGATATCGCATATTAACTGTAGATACCTGTCCTCATGCAAATGACTAAAATACAGATATAGTGCCGGTATTTACTGATTGTAGTCAGAAGACATACACTTCCACATCTTATAATTATAACTCAATAAATGATATGTATTTATAAAAAAAAAACACATCCGATACATAAAATGATAAACGAAACATCGTTTCTATCAAAATAATGTTCTCGAAAAGCGTTTTTGGAAATAATGTAGTTAGGATTGAATAGTATATGATACACTAAATTGTAGCCCTTTTAACAATAGCGGAATTATTAAGTCTATTCGAGATATAGGAGATTAACGGTTTGTCTTGGTATCCGGTTCCGCTATGTACCCGGTATAAATATTTGTTGTTTTTTAGTATCTTTTACGTATTTTCTTGGTTTTAAAAAATATTATTTGAGTATTCTGTGGTGTATATTATTTTAATTCGCCATTTCACTTACAAAATTGTCATGGCTACATAAGGTGCTGACCTAAACCGGGTATCTAGTCAAACCGCCAAACGGATTTTATTGTACTTTAATGCAGGCATACTGAATGTTACAAGCCAACCCATTCCGGGTAAAAATAGTCCATTTTGTCTGCACTAAATCCGTTTAATAACTGTGATCCTGGAGTTGCAAAGTCTTTCCAATACACAACAGTGCCTCGGCTAAACCACCCGGCCCACCATGAAAAAGTACCTGAACTTAAGATCATATGGCCTGTTAAACTTAATATCGCCAAATCTACATTGGCGGCATTGTTCTCAGAATAGAATTCATTTCCATGGGTACCAAAGTGGGTTTTCGACCACTGAATGTCATTTGAACATATCACATAAATCACTTGCCCTGAATGGTATTTCGAATCCATGTATTCACGAGCTCTTTTCAAATATTCTGGTGTCACTGCCTTAAAGCCCACATCCTTGTTAATCTTTTTCAGTATATCTCCGCGTCGGATATGAACACCAATCAACGTGTACGGCGGATTAATATCTAATTCTTCAATGGCCAATTTCAATACGGATTTTGCTTTCTTTAAAATATCCGGCTTAAATGTGAACAGTTCTTGAATTTTCTCTCTATAATTGTCAAAATATATGTGACTTTGAAGATAACTATTTAGCATGTATGTTTTATCACTTCGCAGTTTCACCAGCTTATGATCGTAACTACAACATGTTTTCGGGGCAATAGGTATGGCATATTTACACAAGTTCCAGTCTGTAGAGAAAGAACCATGTATTTCAAAAGTCTTATTAAAATGATCCATCCATATGCACTTTAATACAACTTTAAGATTACTTCTGCGAGCAATGCTGTAAGTGGATGCCAGCTGAAACATCACATTTCCAAAACCACCCGCAAGTTCATGACATACACAACCTTGACGGTCATTCAGAGTAACAGAAATATCAGTACCAGGGACGTCCTTAATGTCGGTCTGTTTGATTTTCATAATGTGATCGTGGATTTCTTGATGTCTGTAAACACTCCTAATCTGCCACGTGACCATGATGACAAGTAAAAGAAGTATAACTAAAAAAAAAAAAAAATGGAAAATTCACGAAAATACCAGTACTCATTTTTAATGATATATGATTTTATTTCCGGGTATTTACACACAGTTTCAGGTACGTTAAATAACTACAGCTAACTCTTTTTTCGTCTTTTAAGTTATATATATTTGAAAATTAAAATAACTAAAGCAATTGAAGTGTCATTTATTAATATACAACGATCTATACTCAAAACAGTCTTATGATGTGAAAGCTTACCATTGAAATCAATATTTATATAATGCATCCACGCTCATTACACGATAGTTTCGCTATATCATATTATACACTAAGTTTATAATATATAATCCACAAAATAAAGATTCCGAAAAACAAAATCCAACAAGACTTACCTCTCCCATGTAATTGTACAAACCGTAACACCGACATCTTATTATTTTTTCAGCGGTTAAACATCCCCCAACATGTTGTTTGTTTCGATGGTGAGCTATAACAGATTTAATGGACTATGGCCAAGATTAAAACAAAATAAGTGTATAAATACTCCTATAATTTGTCTTGCATAACTAATATTAACTATAGTTATCTTAACAAGCCTCTAGCAAATTTAACTATTCCAGGTCTGGGTATTACATCCATATCTTATCAAATGTTCGCCACTCTTGAGCAGATCAGTATTACGTGTCTTTATTTGTTCAACAGAAAACAAATGAAGACTGGACTGACATGTACAGTGTGCTTATTTCGATTTCAAACTGTCAAGGTGTCTTTAACGTGCTGCCAATGGTATACACAGAACCCCGGTTTTTCGTGCCATCCAAATCCTAAGACGTGTTTTTGATTCTGACAAATGAAATCAGGCTGGAAAATCAAAAAAAAACTTTCTCGGCCAACACTGGGATAAGAGACAACTTGAGGCCGTATGGTTAGTGAGAGAACATAACAGAACAAAATGGGGTTCCTCAGTGAGTAAGACGGTAGCTCGCTAACCAGGAGGTCTCTGGTTTTCCCCTTATCAAGGACAGTGTCTAGTCGTATGGATGGGACGAAGAAAAACAGAGGTCACGTGTAGATATTGGCGTAACCTTGGAATAGGGAGTAAAAGTAAACCATAGCGCCGCCTTTCAGGCACAATTTATGGTGTATGCAAGTCCAGTGGGTACAGAGACCTTGAACGTTAAATACATTTTCAATTAAATTAACTTCAAGCCACCCAATAATACCCCGAGATGTATCCAAATTAGACAAATCTCTAATATTTACGTTTACTTTCCGATCTTTAATTTTCGATTAGTAGGTTTGACTCTTGCCCATCGCAATTACTATACCGATGTTTCGACATCGTGGTATATTCAATGTGTTCAGGAAACTAATATGCCCGAGAAAGTGGCTGTACCCGTGCACTATTTGTTCTTACAATGACTTACATAAATAACAAGAATATATGGCGGTTGGTAATACATGCTGTCTTTAATATCCCAAAAGGTAACGCTCATATTAAGTTGATATTAAGGCCACACAAAATTGATTTTCAGTTCTTCGGAAACACATGTAAACATTTTCCTTCTTATTTCTTTGGGAAAAAGAAGACTTACTTAAAAGCTATAGTATATTGGTTCTGCTGTACAAAAGCTTCCAGTTCCCTATTTTTAAGTTTTTAAGTTTTAAACAAAAAATATTTCACGCGATTCAAGCGGTCATTTCTTTAGCAAGAGCCCGAAGATAAGAAAATCAAATCGGTGTGGCCTAAATTATAGGTTATGAATATAGTTATGAAAATCATACGATAAATACTTATACTAGTATGATATGATCTAAGTCGATGATGTAAGATGCGTTCTCATATTATAAAATGGTAATTATGTTGTAACCATATTACTCCATATCTTAACAATAGCTCTTAAGCTTTTTGTTCCTAACGGGGCATTATGCTAGACCTAGATTTACCTATTATAGGTCTTTTTTTCTGGCTTCATATATTTTATAAATTATTATTTAGACATTTATGTACATGACAAGCCCATAATCAACTTTCGAGACCATCGGGTGGCTACGATATTGAGTGTTTTCGACAATACCCGCCATATTTCGTTAATATGGACACCACTCACGGAGACTGTTGATTGGAGGGGATTATCGTGGAAATGGTACTTAGGTTGTTTCTTGTCAAAACTTCAAACATTCATAACTTTGCTCAGAATTAAGTAATTTTTAATCTATAAAACATTGGTATTATTATCGGTAATTGTATCAATTATGCATGGAATTACACGTATCTTGTATATAATTTATAAATTACCCTTTTTTAAACAAAAACAACAAAACAAGGGATATATATTAGAAATATATGAAGCATTAAATCAAATTACTTTGCTTAATAGCATTCTGAAATGAAATATATTAGCTTAGCAACATTTTGAAATGAGATATGTTTAACATAGAATGACTTAGATAAATAATAGGAATTCCGTTTGTTAACACAGATTGTTTTAATGTCACGAGTGGTAATAATGATTCAGTCTCAGTGTGTCCGGTTTTATATCCTAAATTAGTTTATCATAGATTTAATAAGAGTAAGGTATATTAAATCCGATTCATATAGACATGACTATAACCCAGGCTAGATCAATTATTAATCTGAAGGCTTAAAATGTAATTTAAACATACATTATGCAAGGGGTAAATCTGCCTATTTGCAGGTCTTTCTTTGGGTCTGAAATGTTATGTGTCCGATTTTCATTAGGTTTGAATCCGACCTTCTGTTCAACGTCCGTTTATGATTAAATGCAAAAACGGATAATCTAGACTTTGTTAATTATCGTGACAGTGGTAACAATGACAACCGAGGCTACAGTGATTTTTAAAATAAGGTTTTCTCGGTTGAGAGTGAAACAATTTGACTGAAACTTTCAGCATATTCAATTTACATCATCTAGCTTTTTAACCATTATACTGAGAACTGCCAGCTCTTTATCTAATCTTCCATAATGTATATTTAATTTAATAAATTGTTAGTGTGCAACAGAAATATATAATATAGGCTACACTATGCCACACCTAATAACACATTTGTAACAGCTTGTCTTCTAGAATACATACAAGCCAGCTTCCAATTTGCAATGGGTTTTATAAAAGAAGCATTTGTTAAGAGTATCACTGTATTTACTAGCATATTTCATTTGCTTAGTTAACACTTTATGTTATTACAAATCTGTAATATTAATTCAAAAGTACAACCATTATTAGCTATGTGAGCTCCCCAAGCGAGAGATGTATCAGTCCATTCAGATTTAGATATAATATTGTTATAACTGATAAATACACACACACACGCCTGTTATGATTAATTTAAGTAAATTTAATATGAATATTTATCACACATATATGAAAGTCCTTATGCTTCTTTGAAAATCGCCCGTGGTCAATGGTTTGAAGTATCATTCATAATATACCTTACATTTGATTTGCACGGTTACGTAGATATAATCTGTGAGAGATAAATATTTCAACGATATCCTTTTTAAAACAGGTGTTATTATTCTAATGTTTTGAGTTTATTATGGAAATCTTTCAGAATCCGAGCAAAATAAATCCCCAAGCTTTCTGATTAAAAGACTTCAAAATTCAAATTTAGATACGGCTCATACTTTATACCTTAGACACAAATCTATGATAAACTAATAAATTATAAACCTGAGAACGCAGAGAAGGCAAAATCTGACAAATTTAACAATTGAAGATTATTACATAAGTTGGTATAAACAATAAACTCTGCAACGTGAGACACTTTCGCCAAGAAAGCTTGGAAATACAAACGCTAAAATCTATGACCTAACAAGCGATTACAAGGTTTCCATAGAATAAGCAAATAACTCTGTAAATAATTAATAGTATGTCCATGTAGTTGAATAAGCTTGGCAAGATTTCATATCCTCAACATGACGCTGGAAAGCAAAATAAATTTACCTTGTGTTTTCAAACAGCAGTACTGTACTTGAAGTGGACTAAGCGTTATATGTGGGTACATAATATATTTATTAACGCATCTTCCAGTACATCAATTCATTAACGTATCCTCCAGTATACATCGATTTATTAACGTATCCGTTGGTACATCTATTTCTTAACTTTGGTACACGCAATTCGGTCTTAAAGTAACCGCACGAAATATGATAACTCAATATAATATTAAAATCAATAAAATTGATTTTACGATACACACAGCTGTTAAGTGCGACCCTAACCTGGGTTTCACTCAAACTACCCAAACGTACCAAACCTATTTAGAACTGGCATTCCCATACGCATCTGTGTATTATCTTAATAGATATACCCGTCTATCCGAGGGATTTAGCCCGGTGTGAAAGCTTTCCGGTTTACTTTCGCTTTATTACCGGACTCTAGTTAAACAGGATTTCGAAAAATATGTTTCAAGTGGTATGGGGCATTGCAAAAATAGTAAGCATATCCTGCATAAAAGTGAACGACGTCAATCACACCCTGTCGGTTAGAAGCCCATGGTGTGTGTGTGCGTGGGGAGATTAAAATTTAGAATGCATAGTAACACAAGTAGTCAATGAATAATATTTAACCCAGGTCCATCAATCTCATTTATCTGCACGGGCATCAGAATGCATAAGCTCTGTACCAGATACTTATTAAATATTCTCAAATGTGTTCCATTGGAACACACAAACATTAAATTAGTAAAAGGCACTAATAAGTTTACAAACTTTTATAACCATTTCTGGAACGGTTTTTGAATAATAACTTTACCAAAATAAAGTCAAGATTGTTTTGGTGGAAATACAAAATGATATTCAACGGAGAAATCTATAATATATAGTAAAAGGCAAATGTACAGAGTAAGATCTTGCTCCTGGATGGTTTATAGCATATGCTTCAGAAATAAAACCGGGGCGGACGGACGGATGTAACCTATTTAAACATCCCAGAATATTAATGATTTACACCAATTTATAATATTCCCTTTAAAGAGCGAGACAGAAAACATTTGTGTTTTCCCTAGATGAAAATAAATTGATTATATCGAATCGAACTTGTGAAAAATGTTGCTTGCTGTTACAGAGAAAAAAATGAACTAATGAAAGAAATTTCCCAGATGGCCATGAATGAGCACATTTTTACTTGTAATTCAGACCTATTGCCATTGTAAATGTAAGGTCTGATTAAGCTTGATGCTTCTCAATGAAAGGATTATTGTTCAATCATTCCATTTTTAAGTGAATTACGGGTCAACGTGTCTGTGTTTAAGATATATATTGAGTGTGATAATAGACCAAATGTTCGTTACTTGTCACGCACAATGCGACATTGATAAATGAGGTGAATCAAGATGCCTCAACTGGATGAAATTTTCAATCCCTCTCCTCAATTGAGCTTGGCAGAGTGATAAATAAAGGTAATAATACCACGACAATGCCTTCGATAATTGTGAGTTTTATTCCTGAAAGAACATTGAGCACGGAACCATTGAGTTACCTGCCAGACTAAATGTATTGTGTTTCCTTACATTTACTGGCCAGGATTACCATTTTCCATGATCAAGAATTCACTTAACGAAATCGGATTATTCCCATGTATCTTCCTTTACATAAGAGCAATCGTCATTGTACTTACATGCGACTGATGTCTTTTTAGCTTTGTTATTGTAATTTGAAATGTCAATTAATTACAAAAGTGGTTGGTCTAGAAAGACCCTATAAATTGGGCAATAGTTTGGAATTTGTTTTCAGAAGCCAAAACTTCTGAGTAGAAGATAGTCTTTCGCTATCTACTATCTTTATAGGGTTGCATATTGCTACCTCAAAGATGCATATATTAAAAGATGTAAGACACCTTCTCTGTTTACGAAATCGTTGCTTTTTAAGATTTGTTCAAAGTCATTTTGTAAAATTTTCGTCAAACTTGACAATAAGTAATTCAAGATAATTGGAAAGAAATGTTGCTTAGATAGATACAGCGTTTGTTGCCGCCTCGTGTTGTCACGGGTACACCGTGAATAGACAAGCTGGTTCTGTTTCCATATTAGGAATGGATGACATCACTGTAATATTCAAATCTGCGTTAGGAGGTAACTAGACGCATATTGCCGTTGACGTCACCAAATCGGTATATTGCGGGCGAAAGACAAACAATTTTAAAATACGACTATTTTTGGAATAGCGGGTTCGAAAGGAGCCGGCCAATTCAGTTATACATTAATCAAAGTGTTCTCAAATTAGAAAATATGAGAGATTTGTTGGTTTATTATACTAATCAGATTCAATGGGACACTCATCATACATATATAAAACATAAATTTAGAATGACATACATGACAAATATATATATATATACTCAGATCTGGAAGGACACACATGGCAAATATAAACATCCTGGAATACGAAAAAAATCGACGTTCTTTAATGAATAGCAATATTGTCGAATTCGAAAGAAGATGCATGTTAAGTTGCATGTTGATCGTACTGGAATTGGCGGAGCAACAGGCTTTTTTGAAGAGCCCATCAACATAGAATGTGAGATGGGCACCTTTCTCTTTTTTTCGAGACTGTTTCAATTAATTGTCTTTGCAATTTAGGTAGTCTTTAGCTTAGTGGTCTATCAGCACTTATAAAAGTCGTATTTTGGTGCCATTTGTGGTGGGTTCGTTATCGTGTTTCGGATAGTTTTACGTTGTAGTAGTACGCAACACCTGCATTTGTCTACTACCAGAGTCAAGATAAAGTATAATGGACGGTATCGATGCTCACAAACACAGATCATTCAATGATATAGTAATTCGTTAACACGATAAGGCTATTGAGCTCTTGTTTTAATTATTACAAATGGCTCTACTCGGAGGTAACTTTATTGGTCTATAAGGTGACTATTTTAGCAGTGATATAAACGGATCCATTTATCGATAATCGCTGTGGGTAAAATAAATCAAAGCATGAGCAATTAGTTGGAACCGACTGTTTAAACATTTGCATGTCTTGGTGACTGGCGATTAACGTAAAGATGGGGTATTAAACACCTAAGTCGAGACCTTCGTTCAGATTGCCGTCTTTTCTTGCTCAGTTTGTGTGATTGATTAAGTACAAAGTAGCAGTAAGGTCCGCTTACAGCATACCAATACCATAAACATGGACGGTAAATCAATATAATTCCTATTGTGTTAGATCTCGTTCATTTCAGGCTACTGCCAATTGATTTTTCGGATTACCGTGTTTGTTTAGGATTCTGCCAAAGCATGTGGTGAAACTACATTTTGCTTGCTATTGTCCCTTTTGTCAACTACGCTATTTTCCAAAGAAAGCATGATGAATGAGAGGTACATCAGTCCAGATTGAAACATGAATTGATAAACAAAAAGTTCGTTTGACATTTTTACATTTTAAACTGTTCTAAAACCACTGCTATAGTAGAGGGTCGATGGACAGCTTTTTATTAGTAGTCCGGCAGAACTATGGCTGAACCTGGAAATTGTATACAATGTTTTTTTATGATTGATTTTAGTAGCCTAGGGTGTCCACTTTCAGAATCTGCCATGGCGAACCTCGGTCACCCTTGAGCGTTTTGAGAAATTCAAGGGGGCCGCCCCATCAAATAATCCCCTATAGCTCCCATAGTATTTATTCTAGGGTAATAATTTTGGTGTCTTATTTGGGTCGGTCCTGAAAAGGGAGACACAAGCTGTCTGTTGATCATTTAAAAAAAACAAATTCTACCCGCAAAGCAGGAACATAACCTTCACAAAACTAGGTAATATCCAGTTTAATCCTTTAGTCGTGTTTCTGGCCGCAACCTGTGACAGCACAAGCGCAAAATATTGTATATTCTAAGTCATCCCTAGTGCTACTACAAGCACAAGTAATGTTTTCACTTTAGTGTCCTTCTCCCACCAATACAGTTCTGGATCAAGTTCCGGCGGATTCCGATCTTCCAGTGAACGCCACTCAATAGCTTTTTGCGATGACATATTTTTACGTTCGCTACAAACGCATCATTCGTTGAAGCTAGACTACGTGGATTAGGTGGGGATGATGTCGATACATTTCCAGTTTTGGATGCCTATACCCCCAGTGTGTTTCAGTCAGCGATCAAACTACGGAGAAACACATGTCAATTATCATTGAAATCCTGTCAGCTCATACTGGATGTGACACGGTTACATGCAGCTACGTCGTTGGGAAGGAACAGCTTTGAAAGTTGTTAGAGCTTGATTGTATTATCTCTCACTCCAAAAGAATCAATGCTTACACAAGCCACTGTATTTGTGTCAGCATGTTATGGACAGAGTTCCAGAAATCTATGTCTGAAACACGCTGGAGGGTGTGGACATCTAAAACTGGAAATGTATCGTCATTATTCCCCACCCAAACCATGTAATCTTGCTCAACGAATGATAGATTTGCAGAGAGCTCATTGTGTGGCGTTAACTGGAAGATCGTAATGGGAGAAGGATATCAAATTGAGAACATTACAACCGGCCAACTTGCTCCGGACTCTGCTATGTGGCTCATCAGATGTGGATGCAAGAAATGAAATGAAATGGGGTTTAACGTCCTACTGTTCTGCTCCTAACCTGGGCTAATGAAGACGGACATACGCCATACAGTGTGCTATGGGGGAAATTTTGCCCGGGCAGAGGCGCTACGGCATACTCTTATATCAAATTCCAACTGCCAAGGGATCTTGTATGTGTACACGAGACCTCCGTTTTTCGTCCCATCCGAACGACTAGACAGCTGTCCTTGCCAGGCCCTCCATCCTGCATCACTGACAAGGGGAAACCACGCCGGAAAATCTGAATAAACTTTCACGGTCAATGCAGGGATTGAACACCCGACCTCCAGGCTAGCGAGCTAGCGTCTTATCCACTTAGCCACGTCATCCCCGTTAGAGCTCATGTAGTACTTGTGCTTGTAGCAGCACTAGGGATAACTTAGAATATACAGTATTTTGTGGAGGTTATGTTCCTGTTTTGCGGGTAGATTGTTTTTTTAATTTTCAACAATCAGCTTGTGCCTCCCTTTTCAGGACCGACCCACGTGGCCCTGGAGCCCTTGATATACATGTATATGGTGTTATCGTATCACTTCCAGGCTCCTATATTCAGAAATATATAATTTGTCTCTAGATATAGTTTGTTTTGGTA